TCCTTGTTTGGGAAGCTCTTTATTTCTCCTTCAATTTTAAGTGATAGCCTTGCTGGGTAGAGTAGTCTTGGTTGTAGGTCCTTGCTTTTCATGACCTTGAATACTTCAGGCCACTCCCTTCTGGCCTGGAATATTTCTGTTGAGGAATCAGCTGACATCCTTATGGGAGCTCCCGTGTAGGTAACTAACTGTCTTTTTCTTGCTGCTTTTAAGATTCTCTCTTTGTCTCTGACCTTTGCCATTTTAATTATGATGTGTCTTGCTGTGGGCCTCTTTGGGTTCATCTTGTTTGGGACTTTGCACTTGCTGGACTTGTGTGTCTTTTTCCTTTACCTGGCTAGGGAAGTTTTCAATCATCATTTTTTCAAATAGGTTCTCAGCTCCTTGCTCTCTCTCTTCTCTTTCTGGTACCCCTGTGATGCTGATGTTGGTATGCTTCATGTCGTCGCAAAGGTTCCTTAAACTATCCTCAGTTTTTAAAATTGGGTTTTCTTTTTGCTGCTCTGATTGGTTGTTTTGTGCTACCTTGTCTTCCAGGTCACTGATCTGACCCTCTGCTTCATCCAACCTACTGTTTCTTCCGGTATATTCTTTATTTCAGATATTGTAGTCGTCATTTCTGATTGGCCTTTTTTGATGGTTTCTGTGTCATTTTTCATGCTGTAGAGCATCCTTATAATCATTGCTTTGAACACTACATTTGGTAAATTGCTTGTGTCCATTTCATTGAGTTCTTTTTCTGGATATTTCTCCTGTTCTTTCATTTGGGGTAACGTTTCTTTCTCTCCCCACTTTGCCTGCCTCTTTGTATTTGTTTCTATGTATTAGATAGATCTGCTATGACTCCCAGTTTTGGTGGGGTGGCCTTATGTAGTAGGTGTCCTGTGGGGTCCAGTGGTGCACTCTCCTTGATCACCTGAGCTGGGTGCTCCAAGAATGTCCCTCGTGTGGGTTATGTTGGCCCTTCTGTTATAACTGAGTCTTGATTGCTATTGGCCTGTTTGTGTGTGGAATCGACCCTCAGGCTGGCTGGCTGTGAGACTCAACTCCAACCATGGTGTGCGAGCTGCTGTGCACGCCATGTCACAAAGCAGGATTTACCTCAGCAGGGTCTGGTGCCTGCTGAGGTCTCCCTTTGGATATCCTGCTTGTGAAACTTTTTGGTTCTTGCTCTGATGTTGTCTGAAGCTGACCACTGGTTTATGTAGGTTCTGGGCCTCTTGGGAGGGACTTGGTGCAGGCCAGTGTTAGACGCTTCCTGTGACTTGGACCTACAAGTGATCCACAGTTTGTGGCTGTCTCTGCTCGGCCTGGGTGTGCATGGGAGGGACCAGGCTGCGCACCAAGGCCATCTTTTACCAGCACCAGGCCCTGGTGCAGGTTAAAGTCCCAGGGCACCCTGAGATTTCCTCCACCTGCCTCTGCCTATTCAGCTCAGTCACTGAAAGAGCCTCTGGCTGTATTTGAGATGCATGAGATAGGTTCTCAGTGAGTCACCAGGTAGGGAAGAGTGGTGTTCACCGGACTGATACAAGTTCAAACTTGGTGCTGGGTCTGAGGCCACTGAGCAAATGTCCCCAGGTATACCAAGTCTAGCTGCCACCTGCTGGTTGCTTGCACACTTGTGTTGGGGCAGGGTCCCAGGGAGTTTTCAGGGTGAGGCCAGCAGAGTTTATTAGGCCCAAACAGACCAAGATTTGGCCATGTGAAGGGAGGGCTCTGCTCTGGTTGGCCGTATGAAGGGAAAAAATCCATATCTCACATTTTATTCAGGCCTTCCTTTCAACTTAGCTTCTCATGGTCTTTAGTTACAAAACCCTGTTTCATTTTCCTTGGTAACATCTTTAAAAACAAACAAAACCCCCCCAAAAACCACCACCACTCTTGGGTTTAAACTTGGGTTCTCATGTAACATTTTGGAGATTTGGGGTCCTCAATATCGTGCTCAGTCAAACCTTCCCCATTTCCTCACCTCCATGAACGGGGGCTGGGGAGGGGCACAGTCTGTTGTTCTCTGAGGTCCTCTCTAGCCCTGACAGTCCATGATTTGGGGACCATTGAGCTTGGTGCCTCATCTAGGTGTTAGAAGTATGCTTGAACCCCAAGTAGAGCGGTTTGACTCTCATCCCTAACATCTGCTCTTCCAGTACAGTCTACAGATTGCATCCTGAGAAACCCTGTGTCGTGTCACTGTTATAGCCACACGCCCCATAGCAAGCCAAGTAAGAAACAGTGGTTAAGGGCGTTCTGGAGTCAGACCGTCTGGGATCAAATCCAGTTTCATCACTTAACTAGCAGGTCACTTAACCTTTGTGTGCCTCAGTTTTCTCCTCTGCAAAATAGGGTTAAAAATAACCTGCCTAATATCGGCTTTTTAAAAAACCTTCACCTGAGGATATTTTTCCATTGCTTTTCAGAGAGAGTGGAAGAGAAAGAGAAAGAGAGAGAGAAGTATCAGTGTGAGAGACACACATTGATTGGTTGCCTCGTGCATGTGGCCCGACCGGGGCTGGGGATGGAGCCTGCAACTGAGGTACGTGTCCTTGGCTGGAATCGAACCTGGGACCCTTCAGTCCGCTGGCCAATGCTCTAACCACTGAGCCAAACCGGTCAGGTCCTAATAGGGTTTTTAAGAGGACTGATTGAATACATATTTGTTGAGCTTTTCCAGCAGTGCCTAGGGGAGAGTGTGTGTTAGATTAAAGAAACTAAAAGTGGTAGTCAATATAAATCCCAGGACCCAAGTAAAAATGTGCAGTGGAATTTGTGGTTGGAAATGGGGGTCCCTTTTCAGTAACCCAGTGTGTTCTAGATAAAAAATCAGACACTTCATCTGTAAAATATTTGGGTTTCACTCCTCACTCTTAAGCCATAAGAACTATCAAAAAGGGAGTGTAATGATGATGTTTTGTAAGGATACTGCAACTAATTATTTGAAATTGAAGTTGTTTTTAGGTACATGATATCACTCCCCATGGAGGCGTCAGGTAACTTCATCTCTTTAAAAAGAAAAGATCATTCAAAATTCTTTAAAACAAATAGAACTCCAGTAGTTTAAAAAAAACAAATTCGACTAGTGTGGAATGTCTGCCTAGGCAATCACATTAGGGAGAATACATTTTTCCCCTCTATCTATCTCTGCTTTTAAACAGCAAAAACTCACTGCATGGATGTTTGCCTAATTATTTGTATGAAGTCTGACTTTTCTAACAGAAAGTGAGCTCTGAGAGGGCAGGGACTGTGTCTGTCTGGTTCTGCCACACAGAATAGATGCCCAGAGAATATTTTCGGAATGAATGAATGAATGACAGAACTATGCTGTGGTGGAAGGAGAGCTGAGCAAGGAGTCAGAAAATCTGTGTCCTGGTCCCTCTGCGGCCGGGAACTTGCTGAGACGCTGAGCAGCGGGCGTGCCCCCCGGGGCATGTTTCCCCGTCTGTAAAATGGGCTAGCACCCCCACTGCGCCCGGAGGTGCAGAGGGTTCAGGACGATATGGACACGCACCTGGAGGAGGGGGGGCGTTCAGTGCCACGCTGTTTCTGTTTTCTCGGCGCTCTGTCACTTCGCCTGTAAAACAGGGGTAATTTGAATAATTTTCAGAGTTTCTTCCAGCTCAGCGTTCTCATAACTCTTTCCAAACTGAAGTCTCCCCTGTCTCCCTCCTTGTGTCTCCCCACCCCGTTCCTGGCTGCTTTCTTTTTCCTGTTTACAGCCCAGGGAACACTGCTCCCCCTGGAAAAGGCTGGTGCTGTCTTCACGAAGCCTGGGCGAGGCAGTTCACCCCCTTCCCTTCCATTCACTCGTTCACAAGACATTTCAGGCCCCGCTGCAGTGAGTGGACAGACTCTCTGACTGCGAACCCTGCTCCTTCCATCTGTCTTCCCACGTACTGTTGTTGAATCGGAAAGATAGTGTGTAATCAGCAAAGCAACAGAAAGATGCAGGTGTATTTTTGAAGGCAGTCTCCCTGAATTAAGGGAGATGGGTTCTAAAAATCCCTGCAAATAGACAAACGGGGGATATTTGCTGCTACTGCTTTTTTTAAAGGATGCTTTTTAATTTAAATACCAAAATCATTCATTTTATATTCCCCTATTAGATGTCTACATAATATAAAAATAATTGTGTTATTTCTTCTCTCTAGAGTGTATACCCTTTTTAAAAAATTTATCTTTATTGTTGAAAGTTCTACAGATGCCCCCACCCCCACTGACCCCC